TCTTGCATGTTCTTCACATGTACCCCAAAACCTAAAATGTAATTAAAAAAAAAAAAAAACAGATTCAACAAATTCCCTCTTGACCATTAAAGAGTCAAGTGTTTTCACCCAGGCTAGATATATCAAACCACAATTGAGGTTTATATTATGCTAGATGAGTTCCTCAGAGTAGACCCATGACACTGCAATTGACAGACCTCCTACTGGGTAATGTCAGTGGACCAGGTTTCTATTTATCTATAGACATTTCAGGATTGCAATATGGCTTAAATATTACTGCTTCAAAGCAAATAAGGAATAGATTATCTTCAAAGCTCATCAATTAATAATCCTTAAGGAATATAGAAAAAATCCCTATCACACAAATTATTGCTGTGTTGCTATATTATTTATATAGTAACGTTTGATAAAAATCAATGAAGTAATTTAATAAAGATGACACATACCACATAAAGGACTATATCGTTTCTATGTCTTTATGTAATTACAAACAAAAAGGATGTAATCTTTTTTTCCTCTTTTCATTTACAACATTATCAATTTATGTATTTAGTGCTTAAAAGCAATAGTGGTATGAAGGTAGAGAACTGGTGTTCAAATCTGGGGTCCACCACTTATTATCTATGTAACATTGGACAAGTTTCTTGTTTCCAGCTGAGTTATCTTATCTGAAAATGGAAAAAATAACAATTATGGTGGTTATACCTATACCTTATTGTTGTGACGGTTAAATGACAATGTCTGTGAAGCAGACATAAGATTTATATGTTGCTTCAAAATGCAGGTACATAAGCCAACCAAGAAATTACTAAATTTCAGTTTCCTAGAATCAGAGATTCTGGTGAACATTTGGGAGGAATAAGAAAACTGAACTACTGCCAACCAATCAACATTAAATAGAAAATTAGTTACAGAACAAGGAATAGAGTTCTATTTATTCAACAGTGTTTAGAAGATTTGGAGCCTGAATCAGAGTACTCAAGATCTCTGATTACTTTTCCATTCTTATACAGAGATGCATTTATTAAATTACTTGGTAAGTGATCATCTCAACATGAAACCTTGACCATATAGGAATGCTGAAAATCAAGGCCAAATCCCAAGTTATTGACTTGTGAAAATGAAACAGCTTGAGGCCCTGAGTATTACAATAGCAAACTTGATTAAATTATTCCCTAGGTATAGGAGCTAGACAGCCACTGATTGTCCCTCCACATGTCCACTGTTTTAATTCTTCTCAACAAGCTTGCTTTGACCAAATCACATGCTATCTAATTCATACTAATTTTCCACAAGGTCTTCTCTACATCTGGTGTATATTACTTTCATTATCCTAATTAGCTATTAATTATGCCTTTCTCGCAATATATAAAATGTACATGCACTCTTGCAAAAACCGCACAGATATTCACACTTATTTAACTTTAACAGCTCCACCTAAGGACAAAAGCTGTAATATCAAAAGTGTCTTAAAGTGATTAAATATTTGGGAGTAAAAAAGTAGATTTGCTTACATTTTTAAATTTGGATGGGCATGTGCTATGTATATTAAAAATAATGAAGATTCCATGCCACATTTTTATGGACAATTACATAAAATAGGGTGCCCACAAGCATGCAAATTAGCACATGCCTGAAATTACATAACGTCTGTCTTCTTGCTTGACTTTCATGGAAATCTGTATTTCTGGACAACTTGAGAGCTGAGCAACAGGCCCATGTCCTCCTGTTAATTTATTTAAAGGGTGGGGCCAAAACATTTATAAGATATCACTAAATAAAAAATAATGTCGGGAATAAATATTTGAAGACGTCTATTCATGGGTCTACTGTGTTCAAGATGGCTCTAGGGATATAAAACTGAAAGTCAGTACCTGTCACAATGCAAGTTCCACAAATCCACATAGACAGTGTGGGCATGAGTATTGTGTTATAGGCATGCCCAAATACAGAAGAAACAGGACCACTGAATCTACACATAAAAGGGTCTGGGGAGGCTCTTACACAGGAAGATTTTAAGCAAGGAAATACTAGATTTTTGAAATACCTCTCTGGTGCCAGCGTAGGGGTCTGGGAGGAGAAGCTGAGACCAAGACATAGACTGATAACTGAACCATCACCATCTTGTGTAATTACAGTCACTTTATCTAGTAAGCTTGGCTCAAGTGGTAGAGAATAGTCAGGCATGTGGCAGTACAATTTCCTGAGAAAAGACAGCACCCCCAAGACAAATGCCCTAACCATTATACCAATAGGACATTCTCAGATTTTCTCTAATAGAATTCTTAAATAGCACCAAGAACATAGCATCCATGCATTTGTTAAACATGTATTAAGTTTCTGCCTTATGTAATGGATTGT